TCCTCTCTCCGGCTGCAGCTGCTGTTGCACAGTTCCCCCCGCCAGCTTCTTAACTGCTCTCCCAGAGGCGCTGTCACCGTCACTGATGGGCTCGGCCTTGGCCAGCGGTGGGTCCATCTTGTAGCCGGCTGGCTCTGGCCCTGTCGGACACAGGAGAAGCTTCTGGCAGCTTCTCACAGAAGCCACCCCTGCAGCCCCCCCACTACCAAAACCTTGTCACACAAGCCCAATACACCCATTAATTTGCACATGCAAATTTTAGTCTGCTGGATTGCCTCCCAAGTATGTTAAAATCTAACCCAAACATATTTTCACATTTAGCCAATTCAGTTCAAGTGGTTAAATGTTCGGCCAAAATTCATTATGTTCAGTCACCCTGAAAAAAAATTTTTACGGTGTTCATGAGCCCTTCCAATACGTTCAGGTCAGTTCCAGCTGTGGTTATCAGAAAGACTTAAGATCATAATTACCTGTGCTTTATGTAAAACGCCTTACTTACTTACAGACTTTCCTGAAAGAGCGCTTTGACAATGAAGAAATTAAACCAGATTTATGGATGTCCTTAGAAGGTGGAAATACTTGTACCGAGTGTGGGATCCTCGCAGAAGACACAACTCTGTATTTTGGAGGCGCAACTGTGAGGCAAGCTGTCACTCAAGATCTGGACCTGCGTGGAGCAAAGTAGGTCATGTTTCCATGTCATTTATTGGGGAACTCCGTTAAACACTGACAAAGCAGCAGGTGACGTAGCTTGTAGCTCAGGGAATTCCTAGGCCAGCACAAGCATAGCGCTATCTCAGGCAGTCACTGATGAGATTACTATACTCAAGGCACTGATGTTTTCAGACAAGTCACAGAGAGCAAGGCTCACCCTGGCACGGTGGAAAGGGTCTGCCGTGGTCAGGTGAAGCAGCAGGCCCCCTTCCCCAGGAATGTCCTGGAGTCAGCAACGCCTGTCCTGCAGAAGGTGAGATACAGCAGTCTCCTGGGCATCACTGTCTCCACTCCTGGAGGCACCAGCTGTGTCTCCCACTGAGTTCAGAGCATAACCTCTGCTGGTTGTCCTCTCTTGGGTGCCCATACAAGACCCACTCCAATCACATGCTGTAGAAAAGTATTACTTAACTGTAGAGCAATGGAATTATGTCAGTTTAAGAAAACAGAAGACATGATGTAGAAGACAACTTCAGCATCATTTCCCTTGACTGTATGGCTTTAATGAAGCTGCACACTCTCACCTCAGTAATTCAGCAAGAATTCACTGAATCACACAACATTTCAGGAAGAAAGGGGCCTTGGAGAGTCTCTAGTCCAACCTCATGCTCAAAGCCAGGTCAACACTGAATTCAAACCAGGTTGCTCAGGGCTTTGTCCCATTGGGTTTTGAAAAACCTCCAAGGACAGAGGTCCCACAGTCTCTCTGGACAGCTTGTTCCAGTGTTGAGTTACTCTGATCTGAGTTACAGTGATTTCCCCCCTCCCACCCTATTACATCCAGTTGGAACCTCCCTTTTTTCAGTGTATGACCACTGCCTCACACTCCCAGCCACCTTCTCCAGGCTGAACCAGTCCGGGTCCCTCAGCCTCTCCTCACAGGCCATGTGCTCCAGCCCAAACCACTTCAGTGGCTTCCACTGACCTTGCCTCAGTTTATCAACTTATTTTATGTCCTTCATTGATATAAGGGCACCTTGTTACCTGATGTTGAGCTCCCTTTCCACTAGGACTCCCAGGGAACTGTTAGCAAAGTGGCTCCCAGCTAGTACAGCTGCAAGGGTTTAGTCCTTCCCAGGGGCAGGACTTTGCTGAATTTCTTGAGGTTCCCATGAGAACTACTAGGCAATGTTTTTGGGAACCTTTGTTCTACCTGTACATCGATGTTACTTGCTTAAAAATGCTGGCATTTTGAACATTTTCAGCACATCTGCTAACAGAAAGCAAACCTCAATTTGTGCAGATCTTTAACAGATATAAATTTATACAATTACTCTTAGGTTTCTACAGTATTGGGGGAGAATTGGGAGTGAAAACAACATGACAACATGCCACAGACCAACTTGCAGAAAGGAGGGAGTGCTGCTAGACTATTCCATTGATGGAGGCAAGTACATCCTGTAGTTTCAGCTAAGCTACAGCCTTCTTCTGTATTCAAGCACCATGAATATCTGAGAAGTTGTCAGAGAGATCCAAAATAATAAGACAATTTTTAATTGCAAAGTTATTTTTGTCCTTGTAAAGCTTTTTTCCCATCTAAAATTCCCATCTATTGCTCAGGAGTTTTCCATAATCCTCCCGTCTGATTTCAGTTATCAGTGGCTTCCAGCCAAGTTGATTCCTTTATGCTATTACAAGATTACTCTTGCAATGAGTAACAGTTGCCAACTACCCTTAGAAGTTGACCTGTTTATCAGAAGACCATAGCTATTATTTCTTATGTCCTACTATATTCCTTTAAGCTTTTAAAAGATTCTACCATACGCTTGGTTTTATTACTAAACCTGCATCTTTTCATTTTAGGCATATCCTGGACTTTACTTCATGAGATGGATTACCAAAAATACATCTCAGTCAGGCACGACTACATCCTCCTCCCCGAACATGCTCTGACCAATACAACCCGCTTGCGCTGGTGGCAGCCTTTTACCATCAGCAACGGGATCGTGGTTCCAGGCCCCGACCGGGCGCAGTGGGCGCTGGACAACATCCTGATCGGAGGAGCAGAGATCAACCCCAGCCAGCTGGTAGATACGTTTGATGACGGTGAGACAGGCTGTGACAGCTAATCTGTTGTCTGGCATTATCTTATCTAAGATAAGCCTTGTGACCTTGCAAGCACACTTTTTCTTTTTTTTAACTCTACAAATTTTTTGTTTGGTAGACTAATGCTGTTTATATGCTATTCTTCATGCTACTAATCAGGGTGTGTAAATATATATATAAATGTATATTCAGGTATGAGTGTATACACATATGTATATACCTATAAGAAAGGCAAAAATTTTTATTTCAGTCCAACTCATTTAATTTAAATTCCTGGTAGTAAATTTTTGCTTAATCATATATTTTTAAGTATTATTATTTAAATGTTTTAATTACATCTCTGGAGCTGATGTTTTTATTATGTCTGTTAGTAGCTTACTTACTGTGTGTCATGACAGATAGCATAAATTTAGTGTTTATATCACTAAAGTACTGTACCTAGTGATTCTGTGGTTTCATTACTAAGCTTTATGTTTACCAAGGCAATGCAGTAATTGTATTTAACTCATCTTAATAGAAGGCACTTCTCATGAAGAAAACTGGAGTTTTTACCCTAACGCAGTCAGGACTGCAGGGTTCTGTGGAAATCCATCATTCCATCTCTATTGGCCAAATAAGAAAAAGGACAAAACACACAACATCTTGTCCTCCAGGGAGCTCATTATACAGCCAGGATACATGATGCAGTTTAAAGTAAGAAATGTTCTCTCTCTCTCCGAAGTAAAGTATGCAATGAAAAATCATCTAATGTGTCTCCAGAAATTATTCTTCTTCTAACTAGGATGCCCAATTGGATGAATAATTAATAATGACTTTTTATTAGCATTTAAAGGAAATTCTGAAGTGTAGGTAATGGGAACCAGAAAGGTTGCATGAATGTTAAATGTCAAATTATTCTGACTGTCTGTATGCTTTGGGGGTTACTGAGACAGATTGGAATTCTAATCCCTTTTTCCTGAAATTACTGGATCATCAATACAGTAGGAATTATTTTCTAAGGTGTGAATACACAGCATGTAGAATATGCCATTTTCCCCTAACTAACTCGTGAATAAGCAGAAAAGGCAAGGTTGAGGCAGGCTGGAGAAGAGTGGCATATGGAAAACGCACAAGTGCTCCAGTAGAAGTATCCATTCCGCCTGCTTGTGTCATAGCAAATGACCTAAATAACCTGAGAAGATTTCTGAATCTTTTACATTATTTTAAGGTAGAATTCTGCACAGGGCCACAGGCAACATGTAGCTTTGTCCAGAAATGTTCTAGGCCCTTCCCCAAGCACCATGTCTTAAATAAGCCAGGAACTGATATGAAAGCAGGGTCAACAAAATAGTCATCCATTTTTTGTTACGTTTTTTTTCTTGCTCTTCTGTTTGACAAGACAGTTCCAGAATTTTCCATCTTCAACTAATCAATATTTTCATCTTTTCTCAACATCATTGCCTGTTTTATATTGACTGTCTAATCTAATCCCTAAAGCACTGCTTCACCGACTCACACAGCATGCTACCATTGAAGAAATTACATAAAAGAGGATTATATAAAATTATATGAAAGAGGAGTCAGACATGCTTTTTATTACTGAATGACAAGACCCCCTCAAACTGCTTATTTTACCCTGCCTATCTATTTCCTCTATTTTAAGGACATTTTAAGGACAAAATTATGATAACCCATCAGCATTTAATAGTTTGTATTACTAAACTCTCATTGCAAAGTTTTTCTCTCCTAACTGTCTCCTCCTTTTTTTTCACCAGTCACAGCAAAGATTGTGTTTCTAAAGTAAGAACTCAGCTGTAGTGCATGGCTACCATTTGGTTTGGAAGCTCTTTAAATTTAGCTTTTTGTTATCTATTCCATACTGTACATTGGGTACTGTAATCTTTCCACTCTGATATGACACAAATATGTTTATTGTTTTAAATATTCAGAATAATTCTTTTCTTAAATTGGATTGACTTGAAGTTTATATCCACATGTTTATGATTACAAATTATAAATTTCGTAGCCAATTAATATATAGTTAGGCACTTCACTTTTTGAAATGCTGAGGAGCTACCACATCTTTTTGTTTCAGAAACAGTGTCTGTTTAGATATTTAATTTGAACTTTATGAATGTAGTGTTAGGATTCTGTTTGAAAATAACAGTAGCAATGAAGTAAAATTCATTAAGTAAATCAGTATCTAAAGTCCTGCGTCTTTTCTTTTTTCACCTACTTTTGATGGATTTTGTCCAAGATCTAAGTTGGCAATCTCTTTTATACACCCCATAAATAAAAAAAAAAAGAGAGCAAGACTTCATTACATATCACATTAAGTGTCTACCTGACTTGTTATAGCAGCCAATTTTATTTGTGCTATAGATCGTGGTTGGCTGTGAGGCAAATTCTTGCGGGGACCTCCACTCTGTGATGCTGGAGTATACGAAGGAAGCCAGGTAAATGACAGCAGAATACATAGACCCCAAAAAAAATCAATTTGACATTGAAAACCTAGAGAGCTTTTATTTATTAAAGCAATTACTTTGCTATTCATCTTGTAATAGGATCTGAACAAAACCTGTGTGCAAGCACTGGGATTTGTCTACATAACTCCCGTAAATTCTCTTTATAACTCATCCCAGATGTTGACAGATTCATGGCACTGATCTTGCAGTTACAGTCATAAGCATGCTCCTGTTAAAAATGTGCTCACAGAAAACCACATTCACAGGAAACTCTTGTTTTAGTATGATACAGGACCATATATTTAGGACCAAGCTATAATGAAGTTGGAGTTACTTATCTCCAACTTGGTCTTTAACTAGCAAACAATTAACAACACTGTCTCCTGTGCTGTGGTATAGTAGTGCATTATAATTTGTAAAAGTGAAGGTGTGTTCTGTGTTCAAATGACTGTGGATGAACATGGAGCAAATTCTGTTGGAACTCTTCTGAACACTGTAAGAGAGAGACTAAGGAGCAGACTCCTGTCATGCCAGCCCAGAGGAGCTCTGGGTTGGACTCTGCTGTGTGTACCACCACCAAGGGTTCCACAGTACTCAAACCTTGTGCTGGAAAGCCCTCCCTGGCTGCACCAGCACTTCAGCCTCTCACCTCTTGTCTATTTGTGGCTACAGAGCATGGAAATTATTGCTGACAATCTCTTGGGTTTGTTTAGTAACACAAGGCAATGCCATGACCCTTAGAAATTATGTTTCCCTTTCATTATTCTTTCAGTTGTTCTAAAACTTTTTTGTTGTTGTTGTTTCCTACAGGACAGACTCATGGCAGCTCGTCCAGACACACTGTCTTCCTTCCTCATCTAATAGCATTGGCTGCTCCCCATTTCAATTCCATGAAGCTACCATCTATAACTCTGTCAACAGCTCCATGTGGAGAAGAATAACTATCCAGCTGCCTGATCATGTCTCATCCAGGTAGGTTACTGAAAGGTCAGCTCACTGTGGACCCATAAAATGTCAGCTGTCTTGCTGGCACTGTTCACTTGGAACAACTGGTGAATTAAAAATGCTCCTTTATTGCTGAATTTAGATCTGATAAAAAATCAATGTTTTTCAGGAATGTTAATAGAAGTGGCTACTGCCAATGACGTAGCAGCCACCCATTCAGGGTGGGTCTTTCCAGTTATTGAAGTCACAGCCCCTTCATACAACATTTTTCATTACATCTGCTGCTGGTGTATTTGAATGTCACTGTACAGATGTGTTTAATTGGTAGATATCATAATACGCTGTTTGGATTTTGATATTTGCAGTGCAACTCAGTTCAGGTGGATTCAGAAGGGAGAAGAACTAGAGAAACAAAGCTGGGCAATTGACCACGTGTACATCGGGGAAGCGTGCCCTAAGCTCTGCAGTGGCCATGGATATTGCACGACTGGAGCCATTTGCATTTGTGATGAAGGATACCAAGGTTTCTTTTCTTCAGTTTCTTACACATCTGCTATAGTCTAACCTAGCTCAAAATTAAACAGAAAGACAGGGTGATGTATCATGTCTAAATTCAACACTGGAATGCTTGAGTAACAAATTTTAAATTAATAAATTGACAGAGCTGCAAATAACAGCTCTTCCTTCCCTTTACTCTTTCTGGACCAAGTCAGTAGTCTCTCCTGTCTGGCACTGTATGGAAAGCCCATTCAGCCTGCACTGAAAACAGAACGTGGCTACCTGCTTACCCAGAAATGGCTTCCAGCCCTGTACTCCTTCCAAGGGTGCACTCACTCCCAGGGGATGTGTGCATGGGATCCAGATGTTGGTGACTGGCACCTGTAAAAGACTCAGTTATGTGCCCCATCAGGACAGAGTGTTCTGCTCTAATCCCTCAATGCAGCTAAGCACATGCCTAATGGTACCTGAGTGCCCTCATTAAATTATAAGAAGTGCTTTGTGGGAGTGGAGCCAGTGTTTAATGTCTTCCAGGAGACAGTCTCATAACTTTCTAAGATCAGATCCCTTCCCTGTTTTAGATGCATTGTCCTTCAACGAGCAATTTGATGTTGCTCATATTGTCATCAATGCAAAACAGAAGAAACCATACTGCAGTTATACTGATGTAAAAAATAAGACTCACAGCCTCAATTTTCTAAAAAAGAATGCTGTACAGTAATATGCACATTATTAATGGATCTGCTGAAATATATTCAGCCTGTAGTCACACTGTATATTGGGCTACAACCTTGAATGGAATTACAATGAACTGTAACTCAATTTTCTCTCTTCTTTTGATTTTTGTGTTTTATAACTTCACTGTGTCATTTCTAGGTGATGACTGCTCTGTTTTTAGCCATGACCTCCCCAGTTATATTAAAGATAATTTTGAATCTGAAAGAGTCACTGAAATAAACTGGGAAACGATTCAGGGGGGAGTGATAGGGAATGGATGCGGGCAGCTGGCACCCTATGCCCATGGAGATTCACTCTATTTTAATGGTTGTCAAATACGACAAGCTGTGACTAAGCCTCTGGATCTCACCCGAGCAAGGTAATACTTTGAGCCTAAAATGGTCTTTTAGCAGCTCATGAGAAAGGAAACTCTTCATATGTACGTGCATCCATGTGGGCCAGTACTGCTGAGGATGGACTGACCTGGCTGTACTAGGCAGTCAGATGTGGCTGGCAGATAAACATTAGGGTTGGCAAAATGCTTAGTGACTTCCATTTGGGAGATGGAGAGTGAGGAGGAAGCAATGTCAGATGAAAAGGTCAGATGTTTTCATCATGCCCAACAGGGCACTGGTATGCCAGCGCTGACAATGAAGCCATTGGCAAAGACTGGACAGCAGACTGTCTGGACCAGTGCCTGATCTGATAAGACAAATCCCATGTTTGTATGTGCCTCCATGACAGTTATGACTAAAGATGCTCTTAGTAATTACGGACTCATTTTCCCGTTTTCAGTTGTCAAATAGAATTATATTCACCTGGCAATGAACAAGAGTATCTTTTTCATCTATTGAGTCTCTTTGGCCACAGAAAAACAAATGCAACCAGCCTGTGCTGGCTCTTAACAGAGTGACAGCTTTCTGGACTGGTTTGTATTTAGTTGTTTAAAGCAAGATTAGAAACAGGATGAGTTGGCAAATGGGCCAGATATAAATCAAGCTCTTCCTTTCTTATTTGAACACCCAGGTACAATACAATAAATCTTTTAGGCACTTTATTATATTCAAACTTTATTCGCCCATTTTAGCTTTTCATACACTCATTTGCATGCTTATACTCTTTACATATCTCAGTTTTGTGCAGATACATGGTAAAATTGGATCTCTTGCCTCCAACTATATGGCAATATGTTATATATAGCAAACTATTACTTTGAAAGGGGAGCTGTGATTTAGAGATGTGAGAACAGTTTATTTTGCAAGTTAAAAGTAATGATTCCTGAAGATGCTCAAAGTTTTAATAAGGTAATTGCAATAAACCTGGAAATGCTATTGTTCCTGTTTGGATACCTTTTGCATATTGAAAATACCTTTTCTCTCTGTGTTTTACAGCAAAATCATGTTTGTTTTGCAAATTGGAAGTATTTCACAAACAGACAGTTGCAATACCAATCTGAGTGATCCTAACACAGTAGACAAGGCAGTGCTCCTCCAATACAGTGTAAATAATGGAATTACATGGCAAGTAATTGCACAGCATCAGCCAAAGGACTTTATACAAGCCCAAAGAGTGTCTTATAATGTTCCCCTGTGAGTACACAGTCACATTTCATTACCTCTAAGCACACAAGATATATTTCTGCTAAGAAAGAATCTATCTTTGCATCACTGTGCAAGAAAAAATGTTGATGAGAGTGTAAAGAAAGAAGAAAACTTAAGGGGAAGGCTGATTAAGAAATTCCAGCCTAGTGTTTATGAATATACTTAAAAGAAAAACAATACTTGTTTTAAAGATGGGGGGAGGGAGGGAATTCCTCCTTATCTGTGTGCATTTTTCACCATTAAATATTTTGCATGTATGGTGTGTTAATGTTCAGGGATGTAAAAATAATGCTTTGACTTTGCTCTCAGTTCCTGTTGGGGGGTAGGTAGGGATGTGTAGAACACCTATAGTCTAGAGCTCTGACAGGCTCTTGTGCTTGTGACAACAGGGAGGCACGAATGAAAGGAGTCTTACTGCGCTGGTGGCAGCCCCGTCACAACGGAACAGGTCATGATCAGTGGGCTTTGGACCACGTAGAAGTCGTCCTGTGAGTATCAGCTTCACCTCATCCTACCCCATCTCAGAAAGCACTGAAATTCCTCCCGCATGGCACGAGCGTTAAGCTCAATAAGAACCATTGTGGTCCAGGGAAACCTTTGAGAACCAGTCTTTGCTAATGCTCTGCCCTGACTGCAACAGTCAGCAGTTAAGACGGCCGTGAAATAAGTGGCACAGCAGGGGTATGTGTTGTGCATTGTGGAAAAACGCAGGAGGGGAAGTGGGGCTTTACCACCACCAAGTATTGGTGTGATCCTCTAATGCAACAATGACTGTGAAAAAAATATTGTGCTGGGACATAAGAAAGGTTATTTCTGTTCAACACTGTGCTGCCATGTAAGGCTAATTTATATCCTTTTGAAGATACAAAAGAGTCTGCTGTATTGCTCTTTGCACAAAGTAATGTTGTTGTGCCTCTGAAAAATTTGTGTTAGCCACTAATGCCTTATTCGTTTCCTTTTTTTAGTAAGAAGGATACTGTTCAGAAACAGGGTTCACTATATCAGGTTCCTATGGTCCGAGCTCTATATTCATCCCCTTGTCAAGATTTTACCAAGTAAAGTGTCTGCACCCTCCTGATTCTCCCATTCTTGAGATGGGTTTCGCTGGCAGCTAACCCGTTTTTCCTGTGTTACATCACGAAGAGATGACCTGCTTTTTCTCTAACAATTTAGTTCCAGTAGAAGTGCAATGCTAGTGGCTTCACGGGCGGGAACTCATCGCTGACAGTGGTTGGCAGAGAGAGGCATGCCTGCTCCATAGATAGGTTCAAACGTTCCTTTTATTGAACAATTTAAAAACCAGCAATGAAGAAATTAGGCTTGGATAACCTCCAGATTGTGTAATTATAATCATGAGGTTTCTGAATTAGCAGAGACACTGCAAGTATTGTTTTGTAACAGTGGCAAAGTGAATTATCTGATTGCTAGTTAGCCCTGTTCTTCCTTCCACCAAGAAGCACCAGCTTGCATGGCACTCATATCAACCCCAAACCAAACTGATCCCAACACTGAGTAATTGTACACGCTCTGCTGCTTTTACACACCTTGCTAGGCTCTGCTTCCATAACATTAAGCTTAAAACATGAAGGAACAGAGGGACGGATGTGAATCCTGGCTTAGTTAATCAATGGCTGTACAATGCTGCATCAGGAAAGATATGAAAGAGTATGATCCTGCAGGGGGTTCACAGTATTTAGGAAACCATGGAAAAGGGAACTGGTAGTTCTGAAATATTCCCATGTCTTTTTACCTTGCAATTAAAAAAAAGAAAATTAAAAAGAAAAAATTGGATCAGAAAAAAAATAGAGCATATTACCTATCAATCTGAGCATTGAATTAGGGAGTATAAGTAGGAATAGGACAGATCTTTAAAAAGTGATTCTTAGGCTGAAATGTGGAGAACTTCCTTGACGATGAGATCCGACAAGTTGTAGACAAGACACACAAGTTGAGTGGTGACACGTCAGTCATATGAGATGTTATACTAGAATGGAGACAGCAATAGAAATGCTACAGCAAGCAATCGCACCTTGCCTAGAAAAGGAACCAGATGAGCAGATAGTGCCTCCTCCCTTCTCTTCTTTTTCTCCCGTTAAAGAGTTTTAAGCCTCTTATGAATATTAGCCAAAATATCAGGCTAGAGACAGAGTTTCCACCTGTCCAAGTGACACCTGGTACAACCCACAGAGGAAAACAGATCAAACCAGACAGATTTCTCCCTTACCAAGTACTGTGAAATGCAGTGCCATGGCAGCATATTTCCCAAAGGCCAAATGTGGAGTTCCAGTCCCTGCTAACTACAACACACGAGATGTGCTGCTCTTGGGAAAAGCAGAATTACATGCTGTGGTGCATATGGTTCATATACTAGCATGTGCTCAGAGCTGACGGGTGGCTTCGACCCCTCTCTTTTGCTCAAGTTACAGAACCACAGAATCACAGAATCATTAAGTTTGGAAAAGACCTGTAAGGTCATCAAGTCCAACCATCAAACCAACACCACCAAATGCACTAAACTATACCCTGAATTACCATGTCTACATGTTCTTTGAACACTTCCAGTGATGGTGACTCCACCACCTCCCTGGGCAGCCTGTTCCAATGTTTGACCACTCTCTCAGTGAAGAAATTTTTCCTAATATCCAATCTAAGCCTTGCCTGGTGCAACTTGAGGCCATTTCCTCTCGTTCTATCACTTGTTACTTGGGAGAAGAAACCAATACCACCTCACCACAACCTCCTTTCAGGTAGTTGTAGAGAGCGACGAAGTCTCCCCTCAGGCTCCTCTTCTCTGGACTAAACAACCCCAGTTCCCTCAGCTGCTTCTCATAAGACTTGTGCTCCAGATCCCTCACCAGCTTCGTTGCCCTTCTCTGGACACGCAAAGTTCTATTTCACCTTCTAATTCATCAAAATATTCCGTAGGCCTCTTAAATTTTATTTGCAAGTTGCCCACAAAAGGTTTGATAAAGTCTTTGGAAAGCTTTCTGAGAGAAGCCACACTGTTCTTTGTTGATAGATACCCTCACCTGGGTTTTCCTTTAGATCTACTGTTTCACTCAGCCACTTTAGCCCCAGCCCTTCAGTTTCTTCACCTGTAAAATAACGAAGACACTCAGTCACCTCCACGAAGAGCTTCCAGGCACACAGAAAGGAGCCTGGATCAGTGTTAGCACCAACCCTGGATGATCCTGCATGCACCAGTGCTACCAGGATACACATCATGAATACTATGGGTAGGACTTAGCTTTAATTCTTAATATTCCTTCATTCTCCAATGAAGGTCACAGAAATCTGCCTGCCCCTGGGGAGAGAAAGCCACTTTGCTCAGGCAGCTCTCCAGCGAGAGGCAAGAAGATTGCCAGAGGAGACCTCTGTGGGCAATAGCCACCCCAGGGCTGTCTAACATGGCTGCAGAGAGGCATGGCCTGAACTAAAACCATTCACCAGGGTGCTGTCATTACCTCTTTCCATTAATTCTATAGGGTGTTATTGCAGTCAGTAGGCTTCTGCCTGGCTTGTTCGTTCCAAAGCTGGGATACCTTAGGAAATATCTGTGCCTCCCAAACTGGAAGTAGTTCCTGCTGGCACTCCGACCTTGTCTCAGAAAGCCATGAACAACCCTGGCTACAGGACCTGTTGATGGTCCGTGTCTAACACAGTCCATGCCCAGTCCTCTTAGTTATAAGTATATATCACCCACCTGAACGAGACTCCATCCACCTCTCTGGGCACCATCAAAATTATCCTCACTGGCTCTGGTTTAAGTCCCAGAGTTTCATGTTTGTTCATGATCTGTGTACTCACATTGACACGGCAGGCAAGCCTCTAGCCCGTGAGGTGTTATAGCAAGAAGCCAACCTATACTGAGAGATGTGGTTTGGGACATACAGAAATTCCTGGCTTTCCACTCATCTTATGTTTCCTCCACTATCCTGTGGGCTGACAAAGAGGTCTAATTTTCCCAAATGCCCTAGGTGCTATCTGTTGGCATGGCTGCCTGCACCCGGGGGTGCATACCTACATGCTGTACCAGCTTTTCCTCAGCCCACAGGCGAGTAAGCCATGTTCTCCTTGAGCAGACTAAGGGCTGGAGTAAGAGGGCAAGCAGGGAGAGCTAGTCTGTAGGGATGTAGCACAACCAAGGATCTTCTTGATTTTATTTCCCATTCAACATGAGGGATGTCCCTGCTCCTCCTTACAGTGCTCACCCATGGGGACAAATTTGCGAATACCTGCTTTCATGGCTCAGCTCTTTGCAGCAATACAAAGATTTGAAATTAATTCTGTCACAGGCCCAGCGGCCAAGTCATAGTGCAGATACTGCTTACAACTGATGCACAGCCAGGGTCCAGACACTCTGTTCAGTCCAACTGATTTCTGAGTCAAGGGCCATAATCCTCTCAGCAGCAAACACATTTTCAGGGTGCAGCTTCTTTGTTTTCTTTTTGCTTCCAAGATAGTTTGTGGGAGGAAAAAAATTAACCTGCAGATTATACATGCATGCAACATACCTGGCAGTAATAAGAAAGGCCAAAGATGGATGCTTTTGTACATTACTTAAAATCATTCCACTTTTGAATGAATTATTTGAATCACTCATTAAAAAGCAATATCATTAAGACTGATACAGCTGCAAATGGTGCTCAAGTTGAGCACCTCTTTTGGGCAGGTGAAACACAATACCTGCTTTGACTAAGTTACACGTTAAATTGATCTTGCCCACTAACCACTTGCAACTTATTTTAACAATGGTTGATGTCTATCCTGTGGTGGGCAGAGGATACTAGTTGTCAAGTTGTCCAGTCCCTTTTAAAGCTAGCACCAATTATTCCTTGTTAGTGCAGCATTTTTTCTCTCCATTCGTAAAGAAAGCTCTGGGCACAATTCTCACACGTTCCATGTGGCTCTTCTTAGGATAAAAACTAACCACTTGCAACTTATTTTAACAATGGTTGATGTCTATCCTGTGGTGGGCAGAGGATACTAGTTGTCAAGTTGTCCAGTCCCTTTTAAAGCTAGCACCAATTATTCCTTGTTAGTGCAGCATTTTTTCTCTCCATTCGTAAAGAAAGCTCTGGGCACAATTCTCACACGTTCCATGTGGCTCTTCTTAGGATAAAAATGTATTTTACCCCAGACTTAAGAAAGAGTGTGTTTTTCTGTGCCCCTGTACTTCTGTCCTAAGAAGAGCCCATGTCCAACCCAGCATTTCTTTTGCACACTGTTTTTCTCCGGAAGCACAGCTCTCAGCCTGTCTGCTGCACAGACACCACGCACTTTTTTGCATGTGCATTTGGAACTGCCAGTTCTTTGTGTATAGGGCAGGCCCTTATAGACCTCTCATAAACTCAGTTCTGGTCAAAGGTGTTGAGAAATAAAGGGTAAAGATAAGCTGAACGCTAAGGGTGTGATGTTGCTTTCTTTGCGGCCTAAAACTTGTAATGTGATCCAAAGGAATTTGAGTTGTGCAAGGAATGCAAATTAAAAATGCACCTACTATTTTATGGTTAACTGTTGAATAACAGAACAAAACCCTCCATAGCCATCACTCCATGCTCTTCATTGTCAAGATATTCTCACATTTTTGGCACAAATGATTTAGTGAGAACTTATGTTGCATTTGGTGCAAAGATGTTTATCTTCATTTTGCAACATTAAAATACAAATTATATATTCTAGCTCTAACGTGCTTATGTGGAAAAGCATTTTCATCTGCTTCATTTTTTTAGTAAAAAGCAATTACTTGAAAAATGCATTTAAATTAAAGTATCAACATATTTATATTAAAGAACAGAAATAGTTCAAACATTAGGTAATCATCTGAATATTCACAACATTTATGCCAAATTTAATATGATGCGGTCTGTGCTTTTATGACATTTTTATTATGTTTCTAAAAAGTGCATGCTGAATTTTATAGAAAAATATAAACATTGATTTGAAATATCAGGAAATAATTTGTTCAATTTTTATTTTCAAAAGAGATGAAAAGTCCTATATTGCCTCTAAACCTCATCAGGGTTTTATGACTAATCACAGTGCTGCATGCATTGAAAGGCATTTTCTAACTTGTGTTGTATTTCATTGTTTGCTGTCATTGGTTTTACACTAGAATAAGGTAAGTGCTTTCCCTGAATCAATATCAAATGTATGTTTCTGTTACAGCTACAGCTCTTTCAGAAAGTTTTGTCAATGATGGGTTGGCAGAAAATCACTTGTACTCCCCGAGATGAGCCACGTAGCTCTTGAGGGCCCTGATCCTGCAGCAAGGGAGCACTGGGGGAAGTTAAACTTAGCAGAAAGTGTTCAGCACCTCACCCTGTAGTGCAGTGGGAGTTCCACTGAGGCTGCGGCGAGGAGGACTTCTTCTCCTGCAGTGCAATGAGACCTGCCAACGGAGGGCACCCGGTGCATTGCATCAGCTTGCTCAGCTCCAAGGGGGAATTCCCACTTTTTTCCATAATTAATGACCACAGAGCTGAAGCCACAGCCAGATAGTGTATGTTGGTGAATCTGCATGGTGGCGTAGCCACACAAGCTCCTTAGACACACAGCAAGTGTCTCCCAGGTAGTTCTTTTGTTTCTTGTAAGTCTGCTGCTTTGTGCTGTCACAGTTAATAGAAACCACTAACCAACATAGTTACTGAACTCTGGGTTCAAATCTTGACCTCATCAGAGCTAAAGAACATTCATCATTGATATGAGCTGTCAGGACTTCAGTCAGAGCACACCACTTTTCTCATTATAGCACCCTCCTAACAAAACATTTGTAATTCAGCCTCAAAATTTACCTCAAGCCTAGTCCTGAGAGGCATGCCTTTGCTGTTTTCTAAGGCTTTGTTCATGTTTCATTTTGTTATCCAAATATTTTTGTTTCTATTTGGTTCCTATTGTGCCCTGTCAATTAAAAATAAAAACACAGAAATAATGAATGACTGTATATACTGTGTTTTTTTACCGCATATGTTTCATTCCATTTGGCTATGTTCTATTTTCATAAACTTTAAATTGCAGACTTGTAGTTCAAACTGTGCTTTAGGAAACATGCAATAGCTCGAATGCTCTTATTAAAGACTAAAGACTCAAAGCGACTCCTCCTCATGAATTGCTTTATTCTAGGTATTTACTGAACATGCCCTAGACTGAATTTTGTTCTTTTGTATTGGCTGCATATTGTTTTCATCTAACTCATATAACTCCAGTGACCTCCCTGCAAAGTTTTTTTTTGTTTCCTACATAAATTGGAGAATTATTATCTTATATTTATTTTTTAATAATGCACTCACAACTGTTGAACAGATTATGCAGCAGTTGCTCCTATTGATTGCTTTTTTGCTGTTTGCTCCATCAGCAATACGCAGATAACTATTTTGGATCTGTACTACTCTGATTCACTGCTAGTTCAGTGAATGCACAGAAAAGGCAGAAGGCTCAGCAGATGCGGACCAGTCCATTACACACTTGCAAAGCAGCCTTCAAGTTGCCACTGATATCCAAACAAAAGTTCCCTCTACACCCTCCATTATGGAAAACAGGCTCTATTCCTAATATAGCTTGATGCTGCCCGGCACATTTTGAGTACTCCAAACAGGAAAACAACAGCAAAAGTATAGTAAATTTTTTTATCAGTCTGTGAAAATACAAATAAAATTTGTTATTAATAGTATTGAAAGCATTCTTAAATCCACCAAATGCAAGAAATGCGTAAGTACTCCTGCAAAATCTATTATATAATTCTTATTGTGATCTTATAAAGCACTATGGATCTTTCTTATACAGTGCTTGCCTCCTACCAATATATAAAATTAATTCAGAAAACTAAATATAGACCTACTCTGATTTTGTGAACTATGGACTATACATACTATACAATACAATACAATATTGTAATACAGAGGGTATACATATTTACGTACAGCAAGAGTGAAAATCATGCCATTTTCTATAGCAGGCATGAAGTTTTTATGTGGTATCAAAGTAGTAGTTGGCTAGTCTATCTATCTATCTCAGACATCAGTGAGGACAAGTCTGAACCATGTCAGTGCAAGTGAAAAAAAATAAGCATTTAGTTCTTGAGAATTTACATTTCTCTTATTTTTCACACACTGCACTGTTCTGGAGTTCAGTGTAAGACATAAATACCTGTTTCTTTGTAAATTCTTGTCCATCTCATAACAAAACAGAATGATATACATAAAAAATAAGTAAATCTCTTGTAAGTTATTAGGTAACCCTTTCTTTGTTCCTTTCTTCAATTCTTTGTTTTCTTTTTTGTTGTTGTTGTTGTTTTTTTCTTTGTTCATTTTTCTAAACATCTTCATCATAACTTTAAGGCCAAATACAAAATGGTTCAGCATCTGGAGTGAAATAGAGGCCAAGTGCACCTGCCAGCGTCCAAAACGAGTCCTAAAAACCTCTGCTGAGCTGTTGCTGAATGTCAGCAGACCTAAGGCAGGAGGGAGATGGGGGAATGTGAAGGCCCCTGGGCCAAGGACTGTAGCTCAGCGTGTGCCCTGGCTATCCAAGTCTTGCCCAAGCTGAGGCTCTCACAGCCAAGCTCAGTCCTAAATTTAACCAGGTCCAGAAACAGCAATTTTTTCAGCGAAGCACATTGACAGCCTCTGTTTGGTCCCATGTACCTAGAGCGAGGCCACTCAAAGTCGGGCTGTGCTTTCTCCCAGGCCCCCGTCTCCTGTATTTTGGCTGCAGAGCAGCCTTCTCCCAGCAGACAGGTGCTCCATCCTTACTTCATGGTTAGGATGCTCTCCTGAGAGGTGGGATGTCACCTGGAAGGCCCTGTGTCTAAGGAACCACCCACTTCCCAGGTAATGGGAGTTAAAGGGAAGGCAAGATTAAGACCTCCTTCAGGACTCATGACCAATGGCAGACACTTTAAGGAGCGCATTCAGGGTCGTAATTTCCCTCCTGCCTTCCTCAGTGAGGCACTCGGCATTGCAGCGAGGGTGATGTTCCACTGAGCAGAATAAAGACTGACCTTCAATGCTTCTTTGCACCTGAGCTACCAAGTGGCGTTAAAACTATATAAACTCACCTCTGTCACTCCCTCCCACAAAATTCATACAGATCAGCACAGACCTTTCCTTTTCACTTGAAGAAGTCAGGTGAAAGGACAAGTCAACCCCAAACATTAACCCCCCCTCTCAGTTGCCAAATGCTCTAGAGCTCTGCCTTACTGTAAGAGTGCCAAAAGTTGTGCTGAGTGTTGATCAGTTTGCTTTCATTGTCACCAGGAGCTAGACTCTGTTTCATTCTTGTATGTCCATTCCAGTGGGGAAAAAAAAAATTTGCAAAGCCTTGGAAAACTAGTTGGGAAGCAACTTGGATGTGCATAGGGGTTTATAACTGAGATTTTGACACAACTGCTTTTATTCAGTTTAATCAATCATGTTCTAGATTAGCTGTTGAAAAGGGTATCACTTTGTTTTACAGATTTTTTTAAATGAAATGAGCATACTACAGCAAAAGCTACCTTTGCCTCTGGAGGATGATACATATTTTGCAAAGCATGCAATTATTCCTTTTTCCTAAGGGCCATATTCACTAAAGATAAGCTTATGCACTAGAAAGTAAAGTATGACTGATTATCAGCATCAGTGTTTACTTCTTACTCACAGAGCAAACTCACAAGTGAAAACCTGCCTTGCACCCACAAAGGGAGATTTGTTGACTGTAATGTCTCCTGCAGGCCTTTACTTCAGAGACCACCTTTAAAGTCTTAAAATCTGATGGACTTCTTGGTTTGGAGGGTCCCGGTAACACCCAGTCCCTTGGAGTAGAGATGCTTAGGCCAGGCATCCTTTTCCCACTGCAAGACGAAACTAGAAGGCACAAGATCCTAAGCAGGCAGGGAGGATTAGGAGAGGGAGTCAGAAATTAGCCTGAGACTGCACGGATTCACTATGACTTTGCAGCTCCTTTCCCCTGGGAAGCAAAAGAAAATTTGGCCATGCAGTCACCAGCAGCTCCTCCTGGGTGAAGCTCCTTACACTTTTTGGAGTTGTCCTTGGGGTCTGCATGGTTAATGCTGAACTTCAGAACACACAAACGTTCTAATTCTCATGTAATTCTGAATGCAGTTTGGCTGTAGATCTATGTAGACCTGTATTTGTGTGCATGCACTAGGGGTTTGGATATGTATGTAGACAGACTAAGAAAAGGCACAGCCAGGTGAAGCTCTGTGGCTATACTGCAGATCCCTGCCACAGCAGAGGCAGTAGGATGGAGTGTCTGTGATGCTGCACATCCAGTTCTTTCCAAGTTGTATGTAAGTCTGTAGAGGCCGTAAGTAGATTCACAAGGATGCACCACAGATGTTACAGCTCCATTTCCAGAGCTGCCGAAACTTGGAAACTGAAGGTGGGATCCAGCCCTTAGGAGTTAGACGGGTTTCAGGTACCAAAGTCCCAGACAGCCATCTTGTCTACCACTGCCCTCTCATGGTTCATTCTTCCCGCAATGGGAGAAGTAGAAACCTACGTTAGGTGGAATAGGTCTTGTCCTCCAGGTAGGTCTTCCAAACAAATGTCCCTTCTTCAATCAGGCTGCAGCCAGGCTGTCTCTTGCCTAGTCTTGTCCCAGATGTGTTGATGCATATTTACCAGATCTTTCTTTAATTTTGGATGGGGGTATGTAGGGGAAGGAAACACTAAGTCTGCATAAAAGTGTTGTATTTCACTTCCCATACGGTAAAAGAAGAAGATAATGAAGTAGAGTAAAGCTTTTCTTTTGTTCTCAAGCTCAAGCAGCTAATGCTCAAAGACAGAAGGATAACTGAATTATAAAACCACTGTAGAGAAATGCCCTGTATTGAGAGGGTATGAAGTGCATACAGCTTTAGTGAATCTGGCCTTAGGCAGCACAAGTTTTCATCAGCTGAAAGCTCTTAGCCTTTCCCTAAGATAATGAATTGTAAATAAAAGCAAAGTGGGACAGATTCTCAATTGCCTTGTACCTTGCTGTTGTACAAAGGGTGCACTTCACACCACTTTACACAGCCTTAAAGGTCATGCAAGGACAAAAAAGAATCTGTCCCACCAGCTTACTGCTCTGAAAGAATTTAAAGTACATATAAAAGAACCTGACACTCTTCTCTTTCTCCGCCCTTTGATTTTAACAGCACTCGCAAACAAAATTATATGATGAATTTTTCACGGCAACATGGGCTCAGGCATTTCTACAACAGAAGACGAAGGTCACTTAGACGATATCCATGAAGAAATGAGAAATTTATTTTTTTTCCTCCCAACATGTGATGTGTTGCTTTCCATTCTTTAAATCTAGCACTGCGTCTGGTATCAGGACTTTTCTGCAACTGGCTTGATGAATAACTGAAAGCCTCTCTCAAGACAGAGTGTACACCACTTTTTCGCACTGTGAACTAATGAGAAGTGACTTATTTTCTCATAGGTAAATGTTTTAATGTTGATGTGTCTGTGAAAATCGTGATCTGTTGTAATATCAGTTACAGTGGCAGTATTGGAAGTAAGCAACTAATTCTGTTTAACAGGAAAAAAAAGTTTAAGCACAAAGACTTTTCAGATTTTATGTTTAAAAAACCTACATACTAAGTACAGAATTTAACATTCTTTGTCACATAGGTATTTAAGTGCACTGTATTTCTGCTCTGTGTCATTTTATATGATTAAGTTATCATTGTTTGTCCTCTTTGTATTCTCTTCTACAACATGACACATTGGCACTGTATTTACTTGTTTTGTTGTTGTAATATTTTTGCTGCTGATTTTTGGGCAATTTACCTTCTGACAAAGTGTATTAAAAAAAAAAATCAAAGTACCTAATCAAGAAGATAATTGCAAAAGTAGTTGTAAAGGCGTTGATATCCTTCAGTCTTATTCTTTGATATGTCTGTTGGTTAGCATTGTTTTGTGGATAAAAAAAGAATGCTTGACATTAAACTTTTTTCTACTAAGGAGTTGTGGATAAAGCCCCAAACAGAAGTTCCCAATTCCCTATCTAAATGTAGTCAGTTCTCTGCAACTGATTTACTTACAGTAACTGCCATTTGGTGTCTGTAGTAATGAAGTGATTTGTAAACAGTGAACGTTGGTGTTTGTTTCTATTGCGGGTCATGTTTGTATCTTCTGATAAAGTTGTATCTACACCAGCAACGTTATAATGCCCCTATAGCCCTAAACTGTCTATTATCATAAATAAAATGCTTCACTTTATGGTGAACCAAGCTAAAGATCCATGCTTCAATAAAAATAATGTCAACAAAAATTCTGACGTTAGACTTTTCAAGCCATGCAGGCTTTACATGAAATCATAAACCAAATTCTTTTCCTAAATACCTAGATTCTAATGCAAGTATCAATGGTATTTTTTAATATTTAGTACCTCACACTTAACAGCACTTTGCAAATAACACAAACCGAAAGATCTTCCCAGTCCCACGTACCGCATAACACGGTCATTGGAACAAGTCCTGGTGCAAGGAAAGAAATGGGACCACAGACCAATACATACTCTCACTTGTCTTTATCTGCAAACCCAGTATGCGATGTGCAGATTGGTGTTTCCAAGCTCTGAGGACTACAGTGCAGTACATAAGGAAGCTGGTTCAGAACAGAGGAAGTTGCTAATTCTTAGACTCGTACAATCATTAAGGTTGGAAAAGACCTTTAAGATCATTGAGTCCAACCATTAACCTAGCGCTGGCAAGTCCACCACTAAACTACATTCCTAAGCACCACAGCTCCAGGGATGGTGACTCAACCGCTTCCTTGGGCAGCCTGTTCTAATGCTTGACAACCATTTTGGTGAAGAAATTTTTCCAAATATCCAATCTAAACTGCCCCTGGTGCAACTGAGGCCATTTCCCCTCGTCCTATTGCTTGTTACGTAGGAGAAGAGACCAATACTCACCTCACTACAATCTCCTTTCAGGGTAGCTGTAGAGAGAGCAATAAGGTCCCCCCTCAGGCTCCTTTTCTACAGACTAAACAACCCCAGTTCCTTCAGCTGCTCCTCATCAGAGAGAAGTATTATATATACCTCTTACATCATGTGCATCTGCTTATGGCACCATACTGGTCTGAAGCGGAATGGTGTTTGTTACATATCCATGCTCAGACACCTAAAATGTGTTTAACAGGTTTTTGATCAAAGGTACCTAAGCAGTTCAGGAAAAAAGGAGGTCATTCAGTGACCAAGTAGTCAAAACCTTGGCTTGGTCAAAATTATGCAACAGGCCTTGGACAGACCTGGAAACTTACTGCAACCGCCCAGCCTCCTGCAGCTGCAAACTCACCGTACAGTTCTGAAGAACCCTGTGTGTGCTTTCAATCCTTGAAACAAGACAAGGGATCTATTCAGAGCAGGAAGGAAAAAAAATAGGGTTATTAAATAATATAATAGCTTAATGTTTGGGCAAGTGATTTTAAAATATTGTAATAAAAGTTTCGCCCATTGAACAAACAAAAATGCAAGATATAAACACTCCTATTTTTTAAGACAATTTTATTTGCCCGAATATGTCAATAGATGGGTGATTTTTCAATCTAAAATGCATGTGCAGCTAGTGTGTTGCTAGGCAATTAATTTATATTACAGACTTCAGATACAATGGGGCACTTAATCTGACTTCTCTTTCCAAGTAAGAGACCAGCATAATCAGAGAATCTGCTTGTATTTGTATTTATTTCCTTTGAGTAACATACATAATCATGACTCCTGAGGAATCTCACGAGGCATTTCACCAGAACTCCCTACAAACTGCGCATAGGCTTTTCTCAAGAAAATGATCCCCACTAGATTCCCAAGTGATACCGTCATTTGCCCTTTTCCAGATTCCAGGAAGTTCTTCCTTATATTTTTCCCATTACTACAGGAGACAAGGTAGCATGCACATACGGCATGCTCAGCGTATGTGCTGTTTTATTTTTCCTCCCATATGACTGAAAACAATGAGTCATCTGAGATTAAATAGCTCTTAAAAAAAAAGCAAGGGCGAATCAGCACATAGTCAATGGCAATAAAACAGTGACACTGCTATAAAATGTACTAATAAGCTTATCTATGTAGGCGTAACTATGAAAATCAATACTTTTAGTATGCTCTATAGTCTTCCTCATTTCTCCTATCAGCTCACTAACACATGTTCCCATAAAATAAAGAGATTGTAAGATAAATGAAATAAAAATATAGAAAGATGAAGCTCTGACCTGCTGGAGTTCCTGGAACAACCAAAACTTGAAGTTCTCATAATTTTGCCTAAATGTTCTCCTCTTGAGCTTGTTTCATCCAAAGGTGGTAACATTAACTTAACAGGAAGAAATGAGCAGAGCACAAGTATTTTGAAGGACCAAATTAGGCTTTTCATGAATTTGACAATTAAGAGAAATGGGTAGAAATGAAATAACACAGCAAATACACTCAAGGACATTGTCAAAGAGCAAGGTAAAGCACACAAAGTGGGTAAATATCTGGCTAGACAGCAAAGCTATAGGAGGAGAATCAACAGCGTAAAGTAGTTTTTTAAAAATGGCATTTTGCATTGTATCAATAGAAGTGTTTATGGTAAAACACGGTAAATATATATACAGCTGCCAGTGCTGGTAAAGTAGACAGGAGTTGTCAGCTGTTGAGCCTTTCACTTAAATGCAGATGTAAACAAGCTGGAGAGATTGCAGAGCAGCAGAAACAAGACCCTTGAAACCCTGAGCTTGCAAGTAAAGAGAGTGGTTTTTTAGTCTAGAAAGTACAACATTTGGAAAGAGACATGACAACAGCCATAAACATGGGTCTATGTTGGGTCTATGTTTTATTTACTTGCTAACACTTCAGGGCAAATGTCACTGGGTGGAAATGCTGCCACAGCATCACCGTATCAGTTATCCATCAGTGGGGAATGGGGTTTGGTTGTTGTCCACGCAGGAAGCCGATACGAGGCTCTGTGAGCGCCGCTGACGGACGCAGAAAGGGCCACGCACAAGCAGCAAAGTGCAGCAGATAAACCCCGCTCAGTTCAGCTCTGTAGCGAGGCTTAGCTAAACGTGACTCAACACTGGAGTAACAGGAACAGGCTAGCTGTAGAGGGGAACTACCTTAATCCTGAGCCGGTGAGGGAGCCTCAAAACCAAATCAGATCAGCAAAAGGGCTTGACTACCTTAAGCATGGCCCTGAAGAGCTCTTCAAGGGTGTTAGCAATCTGGAGCAGCTGAGACCACCCCACCTCTCGCAGCACATCTCCTGTGAAGGAGTGGACAGAGCACCCACCGCCCGTAGGTGGTGGCTCTGCCGCTGAAGAAACGACCGTGAGGTATGAGGCTGCCGAAGTCACACGGATGACACATGGATGAACTCCTAGTGTTCTCCTGTGATATTGATGTTTTATGACTGTTGCTTTTTCTTCCCCATGTTCTTCTTGGTTCGGCTGAAGGGACCGACCTGGCAGCAAGCCTGAGGACTTAGGCCTGTGCGTGGCTAATTACCACAGAGCCTGATGGGGAGAGCTTGAGCCGGCACCCAGCAAGGAGAGGCCCAGTAAAAATGATATCCCAGGGATGGAGGAATACTGTACTGATAATGCTGATAAATTCTGGGTTTGTAGTTTGATTCTGTATTTATTTGGAAAGAAAACAAGTTTATTAAGCTTCTTCAGGGGGGAAAAAAAAAAGGACGTGGTTGTGCTTTTGAGCTATGCTGCTTGGGGAGTGCTGTGAAAGAGTTAGTGGCAAAGAAGCTATTTCGAAGGGCTCGGCTGCTTCCCTGATTGCCTCTGGGAGATGCTGGGCAGGCACAGGCTTCAGGGACGCTTTAGGATGCTATTGCTGATAGCAGGAGAGGCGGCTGTTAGCCCCAGGTTCCTCCCTCGCTGCACACTGACTGTGCACACAGACGCCAGCCTTCTGCTGCACCGTATTGCTCCGGGTGTGCTAGAAGCAGCACGTGCAAAGCCATTCAGCCGCTGTGTATTCGTGGCTGGACACCCAGCTGAGCTCATTTAAAATCACACCCTTCTCAAGGGACGTGTTAAAGGATTAGAGTTCAGCCACTTTCAAGGAAGTTTGCATGGTAAAAAGGAAAATGTCCTAATGTTTGGGCCTCTGCTAGAATAACTGTGTTATTCTGGACAATAACAAAGCTTGACATGATTAATGTATCTGTATAGGATGTGAGTAGTAACTAATTAACAGGAGCACTTTGAGAACCAAGCCAACTGCCACTGAAATCAGTGGGAAAATCCCTGTAAACCTAAACGCGTTTCACTTCAATCTGGAAATGTCCACCTCAACTTCACTAATTCAGCTGGTTTGACTCAGCCTAGGACCTGCACAAGACTCTGTGGTCAAATATATACAGGTTTTTTTCTGCCTTAGAAAGTTGTCTCATTATTAGAACTCTGTAGTTAGGCAGCAGCTGGGAGTGACCCAGTCGATGGAGCCCATCTGACCCAGTTCGCTACTGTGGGATGTCCTGTATGGGATGTCCACGCCAGCGAGACAACCAGAAGTGTCAGAAGTCTCCGCACGCCCCAGGCGCTCAGCTAGCTCCTGCGCCCGTACTCACTACCAGCGGTTGTTGGAGGAAGCTGAGAACTAAACGGCCCGACGACTGGAGCGCCAAGCTTTCCTTACGCCGCTGGAGAGCAATGGCTCCCGCTGCTCCATCCCGTTAGGCAGACGAGCCCTCGGAGCTCACACTGGGCCCTCTGTCATCACACAGCTCCAGTGGTGTGTGTGCCATCCACTAATTTCCCCCAATTATCCTCCACAGGAGTTTTTTTAGTCTCTCCAATTGTCCATATTGTTTGTATTAATTCCCCCTCCCTTTTTTTTGTTTTGACCAAAAATCTTTTCATCTTGTTCCTACTGAGTTCAGCACTATATTAATCCCTTCCCTTCTCCCAGAGCTGAAGAACTGAAGCATCTTTTACCCTTTTAGACAATGCTGGAAAGAAGCAATAAAAAGAACTATTAACCTTGCCAGTGGGTCACGCTAAAATGCACACAAGAAATTAAAACCAGCTTCAGTTTCATGTATTTAAATGACACAATTAGTGTAACATAATCTGCAGTGTGGATTACTGTAACATTCAAAATGATTTATACTTTTGTGGATTTTTCTAGCAGGAAATCCGCTATTTCCCAGGCTTTCTCCTCCCCTCCTCTTTGTGCAGGGCGTATAAGCACAGGCCTGCCCGTGCTACGTTGCCGCAATACGTGCTTTACTGGTAATAAAGCATTTCAGAACTTCAGTACATCAGTGGTGACAAC